GCCACACAAACTCAAACTGTGTTATTGATGCTGTAAGCCAAGTAACTGTATGGGCTTTTGTTATTTGGCTGTACCTGCAAAACTTAACCTCCCCAATCCAGCGCCTTGCACCCCATCACGTGCACATTCGGTAGCGCCCAGGTGCTTCGGTCGGCTCTGTTCAAGACTAAGACTGCTGTCCCAGGACTCTGCAAGCTTTGAAAGGTAAGGACTATTCTAACGTAGACCCTTTGGGTTTGACCACAGCTTGGTTTTCATGGTCAACACCGGTCTTGGGGCAGTTAGAACCTTTCCCATCTCAAGGGGCCTCTTAACTGAAGTCACACCCCCGCGGGCTCAGCACCTCCACTCTTAGGATGGTAAAATCCCCCAAATGGCCTGGCCAAGAGCCGCACCACTGAGGCCAACACTTGCCATCACCCTGGCTCCAACATCTGGTGGTAACAGGCCCTACACAAAGCGCGGGACCACGGACCCCAGCACTGCGCGGGCAGAAACCTCAGTCGCCCGTAGCACGGTTGCCCTCTTTGGAGGCAACTTTCGGACCAAATTGAAAACCGCAAAGGCAAGGTCCGCAGTTTCCTGGCCGAACGCCGCCCTTGGATCTGGCGCCCTCTCTGGGGAAAATGGGTACCACAGCGTCTCCTGGCTGTTCGCCGCCTCCAGAAGCCACGTGGCGCCTGTGCCTACCGCGCTGTTTACCTCCTAAGGTTTCTGGGTTGCAGCCCATTTCTATTGCCGGAAGTCTGCCGAGAGACTGAATCAAACACTTCCGGTTCTTACAGCCTGCTGCGGTTTTGCCCCCTCGCCTGGGACTTTAAAGCCTCACAGGGTGTTAAAATAGAGAATTGGCAGTTTTGTATTTCCACATAAACTGTGATCGTTAAAAAAATTTTTTGACTTATTTCTATTTTATGTGCATGAGTGTATTGTCTACATGTCTGTGAGTGCACCCGAGCTGTGCAGTGCCGCGGAGGTCAGAAGAGAGCTTTGGATTCCCCTGGAACTGGAGTTAAGGACGGTTTGTAGCCGCCATGTGGGTGCTGGGAATCGAACCTGGGTTCTCTGCAAGAGCAGTCAGTGCTCTTAACTGCGGAGCCATCTCTCCAGCCCCAAAGATATTCCCCCCCCCCCCCCCTTTTTTTTTGGTCTTTTTGAGACAGGGTCTCCACGTAGCCCCAGCTGGCCTGGAACTCACTATGTAGACCAGGCTGGCCTTGAACTCACAGAGATCCGCCTGCCTCCGCCTCCCAAGTGCTGGGACTAAAGGCGCGCGCCACCACGCCTGCCCGTGATCATTATTTTCGAGAATACTTTAACAGTATTTTATTGATAACAGTGGGGCACAGCTCAATAAGTTGATGACAAAAGAAAAAAAAATGCCCTGGATAATGAATATAGACATGAACGACAACCACAGCTGCGGACATATTTTAGCAATACTTAAAATAATTTAAAAATAAATAATATTCCTCTCCTGCCAAACAACTTTTCATTAGAAGAGGTTATAAAGCTTAGCCAGGTGCCTAACTTTGGGGTTCACACCAGCAACCAACACATTCTTTTTTTTTTTTTTTTAATGAGACAGGGTCTGTCTGGCCTCCATCCTACAGAAATCCTCCTGCCTCTGCCTCCCAAGTACTGGGACCAAAGGTGTTTGCCACCACATCTGGCTCAAATCCTTCATCATAATTTTTTTTTTTTTTTTTTTCTGGAGACAGGGTCTCTCTGGTAGCCCCAGCTGGTTTGGAACTCCCTATGTAGACTGGGCTGGCCTTGAACTCACAGAGATTCACGTGCTTCTGCCTCCCGAGTTCTGGGACTAAAGGCGTGCGTTACCACACCCAGCTTGACTCAATATTTTAAAATCACGTTTTAATTATTGGCATTTAGTTTAAGTTATATGGCATTATATGGCATGGTTATGTGCCACTGTAAGCAAGAGGATGTCAGTGGACAGCTCAGGTCATCAGGCTTGGTGGCAACCACCTTTACCCACTTAGTCATCTTGCCAGTCTAACCTCCCCCCCCTCCCCCCTCCCCTTCCCCCCACTTGCTGACAAGGGCCTTAGCTCTTTGCTCTTTACTTTTTGCTTCAATAGATGCCTGTTTTAACCCTTTTCTGAGTCTTTACTTCATTCATCCCTGGTTGTTCGACTGTGTCCACCTCTGGGAAGAATGTAGACTCCACAGCAACTGGTTCTAGGCTCTCACCCCGGCAACACCAAGAATGAGAAAATCCTTTAAAATCTTGATTGCCTCCCACACAGGTCATAGGGACATGAAAAGGAACATAAAAGGCACAATAAACAGAGGATTCTGATTTCTTAAAATGGGTGACTCCTAAAGTGTGGGGTAAATGATGTTTAACCCTATTTTCCTGTGTCAAAGATGGAACCAGACAGAAAAGTGTAAGGACAAGTCTTAATCAGCAGCACACTGTCACAGTGGGGAAAGAGCTTCAGGTGACCTGTGCTTAGATTTGTACAGAGGTCAATGGGCATTTTAAAGGGAGACTGGGACTCCATAGCAACAGGATAGTGGAACATTATGAAAAGCAGAGGGCCACCTGGGACTCCCCAGGTGTGCTCATCAACACCCTCGTCAGTATTCTCATCAGTATTTACAGATGTCACGCTCACTCCTAGCTTCCCATGAGGCCTGGGAGACCTGGTCACAGTGGTTGTTCTAGTTTGTTTCTCCATTGCTGTGGCAAAACACTGACCAATATCAACTTGGGGAGGAAAGGGTTTGTGCTGGATAGCTTTAGTGTCAACTTGACACACCTGGGTTGAGGGAGCCTCAATCGGGGAATTTCCTCTATTGGACTGGCCTGTGGCCATGTCTGAGGGGCATCTACTTGATGAGTGATGTGGGAGGGCCCAGCCCACTGTGGGTGGTGCCACCCCTGGGCAGGTGGGCCTGTGTTGCATAAGAAAGCAGGCTGAGCAGGGGCCAAGGGAGCAAACCTGTAAGCAGCGTTCCTCCCTGGCCTGTGCTCCAGCTCCTGCCTCCAGGTTCCTGCCCTGAGTTCCTACCTTGGGCTCCCTGATGAACTGCGTGCGACCTGGGAGATGTAAGACAAATAAACCCTTTCCTCCCCAAGTTGGTACTGGTCAGAGTGTTTTGTCACAGCAATGAAGAACAAACTAAGACAGGGTTGATTTGTATTACAAATCACCTGGGTCACAGTTCATCACTGAGAGAAGCCCAAGGTAGGAACTCAGAGTAGGAACCTGGAGGCAGGAACTGAAGCACAGGCCATGGAGGAACTCTGCTTGCTGGCTTGCTCCCCTGGCCCATGCTTACCCTGCGTTCTTATACAACATAGGCCCACCTGCCCAGGGGTGGCACCACCCACAGTGGGCTGACCTCCCACATCACTCAGTAATCAAGAAGATGCCCCATAGACATGGTCACAGGCTTGTCCAATAGGGGAAATTCCCCAATTAAGGCTCCGTCTACCCAGGTGTGACACTAAAGCTACCCAGCACAGTGGTTATGTCCCTGGTGGACTGAGTAAAGGGCTGCCCAGAGAGTTGGTGAAGCACTATTGCTGGGCACCTCTGTAGCATTTACTGAACAAATTATCAGAATAGGCAGAGTCAGGAAGATCCCTGCTCACCAGTATGGGTGGCACTCAATCTGCTGAGTGCCCCAGGGGAGCGAGGGGCAGCAGAGGATGGACTGCTCTGTCTTCCTCAGCTGGGACATTCATCAGTGCTGGTGCTTAGGCTTCTGGACTCCAGGATGTACATGAACAGACATCTCAGCTCCCAGGTCTTCCTGGTTCTGAAGCTTGCCCGGCAGGAGGCTAGACCCCTCAGCCTTGGCAACTGTGGGAGTCACTTCCCACACAAAACGCATGTATTTTTGTCCCTCTGATCAATCCAGAGGTCCTATCTTGAATGCAGTCACATCCCAAGGTATTGGTGGTACCCAGCAAGGGCTCCCTGAATGGAAGCCTTTATGATGCCACCAGATATTACTGTGAGATCAGCTGGAAGCGGGGTGAGGCTATAAATTCTCAAAGCCCACTGCCAATGATGTAATGCCTCCTGGTCCTAAAAATTCCATGCCCCCCCACCAAACACCACCACCAACTGGGACCAAGTGCTCAAATACATGAGCCTGTGGGGGACATTTCTCATCCAAACCACCATAGCTGATATCCAGGAATTAATAGGGGTGGAGAAAGAAGCTGGTTTTGATTGGATGGAGAGGAGGGGATGGCTTAGGGCCCATCATGTTGTATTGCTGGGTGTTCTCCAAAAATGTGAGTTAAGAAATGATTTTCTCAGAGTTTTCCAGACAGCTTATCAATTAGTCATATGAACTCACAGCAATAGTGACAGCATGCACAAGTCCAATGCAAGTTCAAACTGGACAAAATCCCAGCATCGACATGGGGAAGTAAGAATCCCCAACACAACCTAAGGAAATTGTGGCGACAGATGACTGCTGGGAGGGGCAGAGACAGTCTCAAGGATGGGATTCTTGGTAGGTTAACCAGGCTCCAGTGTCCTGTAACGGACATTTGGGGATACAAATTGCTCTATAAGCCTTATTATATATAACAGAGGACATTAAATTGGGCAGGGGACAGTAAGGGAAGGTTTGGATGGGGAGGGGATCTAAATACATCAAATCATATTGTATGAAAATCACAAAATTCAATTAAAAAAAGAAATGTTTTTCTTTATAAGTTTCCCAGCTACATGTATTTTGTTATGCCATTGGGAAATGAACCAAGACAAACACACAAAGTGTCACTGTACTCTTCTTCCATTTATTTCAAACTCCAGAGCAGGTACAAAGAGATCGCCATGCAGATGTGTCCGACAGCAAACAGATTAAACTAGGAGCCATAAACTCAATGGTCTCAATAACGCTCCTGAATTTAGTTGATTTACTTCAAATCAAGACCAAGAATGGGATGGATGCAGATGTGTCCGACAGCAAACAGATTAAACTAGGAGCCATAAACTCAATAGTTGATTTACTTCAAATCAAGACCAAGAATGGGATGAGAATCAAAGTGGAAGCTGTATGAGGCTCAGTGGTGGTCCAGGTGAGCTACAGACAGGAGTCCAATTCCAGCAGATTTAAGCGAACTTTCAGGGAGAAAGTATTAGTTCTCCTGATGGTGCTATTATATGATTGTATATACTGACCAACACTAACCAAACTGTACACTGAAAACTAGCAAATTTGGGGCTGGAGAGAAGCTCCACGGTTAAGAACACTGCTGTTCTGTCATGAGGACCAGAATTGGGTTCCCAGCACCCACATTGGGCCATACACTGACGGGGCCAGCACTGGCAGTGATGCTTCTGCTAGCCAAGGACTGCTGGACACTACTAGATGCTGGGAGGGCCTTGAGTGGCCTCTCCTTCAGGACCTCATGAGGAGCCAACTCTGCCGCACTTCATTACAGAGCTTTGGTCATTGTAGCTTTCAGGCCAAAACATTTAGCCTTAAGCCCCAGTCTCCCTGGGGTGGGGGCTTGGACGCTGTGCAGCTCATGTTAGCTCTTGCCATAGGTATCAAGGAGTGTGACTCCATGTCCCTCTTGGGACCCCAGCCTCACAGCCTTTGATAGACAGGCATTTCCCAGCCCCCGAGCAGCACCCCCACTCCCTAGGCTCTTCCTCCTCACTTGCCCTGTCATTGAGTGGATGCATCTCTGGTGCGGAATGCCAGTTCCAGTCTATGTTCTTCAGTGCCCATTAACATCCACTTCTAACCTGTTCTGCCAACCTCTAGTGTGGTTTCTGTCCTCATGGAATGCTGACCAGTGCCAAGGGCAGGCCTAGGAATCTTGGGACCTTTGTTTTGGCCTCTGTGTGGCTTAAGCTAGGCTAAATAGTGAGTGAGAGACAGATTTGAGGTAGACCGGAGACTGGAGGAAGAGAAGGAAAAGCAAGAAGAAAAGGAAGAGGTTGGCTGGATTGGCCACTAAGAGCATTTGCTGCTCTTCTAGAGACCAGGAGTTCAGTTCCCAGCATCCACATGGTGGCTCACAGCTGCTTGGAATCAGTGCCAGTGGATCTGATTCCCTCTTCTGGCCTCAACAGGCACTGCACTCATGTACGTACTACACACAGACATAGACATAGACACACACACACACACACACACACACACACACACACACACACGTAAAATCAATTTCTAAAATCTGCAGACTACAAATCTGAGACCAAGGTGTTGCTGGGCTGGTTCCTCCTGAGGCCAGGCTCCTTGGCTGAGATGATACCCCAAGTCAGTGTGTGTGTGTGTCCTGGTGGCCCCACTGATAAGAACACTAGGCTTATGGTGTTAAGCTCCATCCACTTCATGACTTCCTTTTACCTCGCTCTTCCCTGTCTCCAAACTGCAGCACCTTCAGAAATCTTGGGGGTCAAAATTCAGCACAGAAATTTGGCAGAAGAGGTACACTCAGCCCCTGGTGTCTTGGCCTGCTTTCACATAGGCACATGGCAAACAGCACCTGACTCAGGCTCATGGAGAAGGCAGATGTCTGCTCTCTCCTCAAGAGACTCAGGAGCCCCCAAGGGCAGGTTAGGGGCCTCCAGAGGATACTGTGTCTTCCTGGGTCTCTGTGACCACTGAGCAGATGGTCAAGGGGTTGGGGTCATGGGTCCAAAGACAAAAGAATGGCTGCAAGGGACCAGGAAAAGATAGTCCAGAGAATGTGTAGACCAGGGAGCCGTTTGTGATGTTGTGGAAGGAGATCTCCCCAGCCTCACAGTCTAGGAAGATGCCCACCCGCCGGAGGGGCTGGAGAGGAGAGAGGCGAGTCCTGGGGTAGGAGAGAGCCCGGAGTTTCTTCTTGTAAAGCTCCACCGCCCAGAGGCCATGCTGAGGGGACTTGGGGATCCTTTCCTCGCGTCCCAAACTCTCCAGACACACACCCAGAATCCAGGCCCTCCTGTCCCCCACCTCTACTTCCCAGTAATGTCTCCCTGACCAGAACCGCTCCTGAGCCAGGACACAGGGGTCGCGCTCAAATCTCCTGGAGTTGGGAAGCAAGTCCTGGTCGAAGAGCAGTCGTTTCACACTTTTCTGATCCTCAGACACCAAGAGTTTGGGGCTTGCGGTGTCAGGGTCCAGGGACAGGCTCACTGTGGAAAGAGAAGAGGGTCAGGCCCGGGAGACTGCACCTTCCGGTCTCTGCATGATCAGGATCCAGGGCTTGTTTCTGCATCAAGATGTGCCTTCCATCTCTAGGAATCCCTTGACGGTCTCCATTTAAAAAGCTTGTCTGCATGATCAGGATCCAGGGCTTGTTTCTGCGTCAAGATGTGCCTTCCATCTCTAGGAATCCCTTGACGGTCTCCATTTAAACAGCTTGTCCCCAGGCAGGGAGACATTCCAGGCAGGCAAGCACAGCTGCTTGGAGAGGAGTCAGCATGGCCATGGGCAACTCCCAGGGTGTTGAGCTCAGTTTATAGGCTATGGCTCTGTGTGTGAGAGATGGAGATGGGGGGAGGGTTGACTGAGGTGTGTGTGTGTGAGAGAGAGAGAGAGAGAGAGAGAGAGAGAGAGAGAGAGGAGAGAGAGAGAGACTGAAACAGAGAGACAAAGAAAGAAGCTGAGAGAGACAGAGAAAGGGACACTGAGGCAGACAGATAAGACTAAGAGAGAGAAACAGAGAGAGACAGCAAGAGACTGAGTCAGAGACAGAGAGACTGAGAGAGACACACAGGGAGACTCAGAGAGATTCAGCAAGAGACAGAGACTGACAGCCACAGAAAAGGAAACAGCCAGAAACAGTGAGAGACAGAAGCAGCGAGACAGCGAACCCTCAGGGCACCAGAGGTCTGTGGATGCTGTGCTGGCTGCTGCATTCCCTTGGGTTGGATTATCACCCCCAGCAGGCAGACTTGGGGTTCACACCCCGACCCCACAGCCAGCACTTCAGACAGGCTTTGCTGGGGTTGCAGGTGGTTTGCATGTGTCCTCAAAGTCCGTGTGTTGGAAGCTTGGTCCTCACCACTCACCACGAGCATGTCAGAGGTGGTGGTAGTTCTAAGCGGTGGAGCCTCACACGTGGTGATGAGCTCCTGGGATCATCCTGTAGTTCTCTGGGGACCCTGCGCAGCTCCCATGAGAGGGAGTTGTTATGAAGAATGAACCTGACCCCGGAATCCCTAGCTTTTCCTATCTTGCCATCCATCATGATGTGACAAACCCAAGGAGCCCCCACCAGAAGCCACACCAATGGGCCACCTGATCTTGGACGTTTAGCTTCCCAAAATATGAGCTGAGTAAACCTTCTTCCTTTATATATCACCCGACCTCAGTTACATTGTTATGGTAGTAGAAAAAGAACTAACCTAGGCTTCGAGCTCCTCTCTGTCTAGTTCCCAGAGGGAGGCCAGGCAGCCTGCCCAAAATTATCTAGTGAAAAACAATCTAAGGTTTCCATGGGGTAGATTGTAGTTGGGAAATTCCAGAACCGAAATCCCCTCTAACCATTCCATTTGTGGAGGACACACAGACAAAGCCTCAGCCCAGACTACAGCGTCCCAGTCCCCAGCGTGAGGGTCTGGTCGACTCACCGTGGAAGCGCTCAGCCTCGGCCCCACCAGCCAGCTCGCTCTGCTCACTTCCTCCTCGCTCTGCCTCACCTTCCGGGCTTGACTTATGCTGGTCCCTCTGACGTTTCCCAAAGACACAGGCAATCGCAGCAGTTACAAGCCCCAGTGCAATGAGGATCAAAGGCAGAACTGGTCCCCTTTCCATGGACAGAGACCTTTCAGACAGGGGGGCTAAGGGAATTCCTGGGTGTCAAGAATAACAGGGAAGGGGTTGTCCTTGTTATTAGCACACACACTACAGGATCCCAAAGTCAAGGGATACAGTGTTTACAGACCATTCTGAAAGTTCAGAACAAATTAAATGTGTTTCTATACACAAGGCTACACCCTGTATGTTTGTTTCTGGGAAACTGACATTGAAATCCAAACCTAGATTGGATTCAGGAGGTGGTCTGGGGAGTCAGGGAAGGTGAAGCCTCATGACTGGGATCAGTGCCCTTCTACAAAATACCACAGGGAGGTCCCTGCAGTGCTCTGAGTTTGGGTTTCCAGCCCACAGGACTAGAAAATACATGCGTATGGTTCAGGAGCTGGTCAGGACAAGGTATGTGCTGGGCAGTGGGAAGCAGAATACAGACATGGGCAGGATATGGATATTAGAGATAAACAAAGTGCTTTAAAATGGAGCAGAGTGTGGTGAATCTGGGGGAAGGTTGCATAGACCTCCCTGTTTTTACAAATCATCTGTAAATCTAAAATCATTTAAAAGGCCTTCGTCAGGCATGGTGGCAAATACCTGTAATCTCAGCACTCAGGAGGTAGAGGCAGGAAGATCAACGTAAGTTTAAGACCAGCTTGGTCTACCTAGTATGTTCCAGGCCAGCCAGGGCTGCACAGGGAAATCCTCTTCTTTTTCTTTGTCTTTTTGAGACAGGGTCTCCCTTTAGCCCTCCAACTGGCCTGGAACTCACTATGTAGACCAGGCTGGCCTCGAACTCACAGAGATTCACCTGCCTCTGCCTCCCAAGTGCTGGGATTAAAGGTGTGTGCCACCACACCCGGCAGGAAATCCTCTTTTAAAAAAGCCACTTTAAAAAAATAAACAAAAATTTTAGTGAAAAGCTAAACGTACCTTTTGGTAGATAAGTGGGTAAATAAATTGTGGTCCATTCAGACAGTGGAACATTATTCGGCCCTCAAAAGAAAAGTACATATTATGAAATGAAAGAAGCCGGTCTGAAAAGACCAAATTTGTGTGATTTCGCTGTGTGGTAGCATCAGGGACGGGCAGGACTATGGAAAGAGGAAGCAAAAGGCCAGTGGTCTCTGGGTGTTGGCAGGGAACCAGAATGAACGGGGAGCACAAGGACCTGCAGGTTGTGAGGCTCTTTGGGTGAGCGTGCGGTGATGTGGTGGACAGAGGTCTTTCTGTGCCCACGCCCCCAGAGTGTCCCTTACCACCAGGAGCCCCAGCATACATGCTGACCCTGGCTGGTCACTGCCAGTTCATCCTCTGTAATGCCCCCCCCACACCCGGCCTGGATTTTCATAGCGGGGAGAGTTCTGCATGTGAGCGCATAGAGAATCCGTGTACTTTCTTTGTATCTGCTGGGAACTAAAACTAAAGTCTATTTAAAACAAAAAACAAAAAACAAAAGCCAGTGTTGGGGCATGCCCCTTACTTCCCGGGGGCCTTGGCTTCCCATCTCTGGCTCTACGTCAGAAACAACACCCAGACTGTGTGTCTCCCCATTGCCCTCCTGGTCAGGCTGCAGATGGGGTTCAACTGACCATCCCCTCTGGCTCTGAACCCCACAGCTGTCTCTTAATGTCTCTGGCACCCAGTGCTCAACGGCTTTGACAGATACTTACCAGGCAGGTGGCTCTTAGCCACCTTCCTCCCCGGGAGGAGAGGGTTGGAGATGGAGCAAGTCAGGCCCTCCACAGCCCCATCCTGGGGTGCCACAGTGGATGTCACAGCCAAAAGGCCGGTGGCTGAGGCTGAGAAGTGGGTCACAGCAGGCACCTTCCGTCCTCTGAGGTCCTGCCACTCCACCTTGGGCTCCGGGAACCATCCAGCTGAGGTGCACTCTCCCTGGATGCCATTGTCTTGGGTCTCAATCACGTGGATTCTGGGTGCTGAACCCAACCCTGAAGGAAGAGACCTTAGCTTGAATCCCACAACCACAGATGACTCCATTTAGGGGGAAAACAGCTTTCAGGTGCTGAGTAGTTCTAGCAATTTTCCATAGATTACCTGTCTGTGTAAATACATTGCTAATATAGTAACTTATTCCCTAAATAAAACAACAAAACAAAACGGAAAAGGTTTAGGGAGACTAAGTTCCTCACTGAGCCACTGAGTGTGGGGAGCAGGAAGGAGCTGGGTCGTCTGACTACAAAGAGCAAATTCTGCTCACCTAGGAAAGCTCCATGCCTCTCCCTCTCCCCTCATCTCTCTCTTCATCCTTCCTCTGTCCCAACCTGTTGCTCCCGCGCATCACTGCCTCTCTGTCTCTCTCTGTTTCCACCTGTCTTTCCATCTCCCCAACTCTTTCTGTGTCTCTCTTTCCTCCCTCCCTGTTGCCCTCTCTTTCACAGAAGGCAGATCAGAAAGCAGCTGTCTGTGACTGTTTAGAACTACCTTCCCCAGGACCACACGATGTGCCGAGCCTGTGGGAAATGGGTTTGCCTGGAATCAGGTGTCACGGAAGCTTCTCTGGCTTTAGAGCTCAGGGCACTGGGACCACAGCCTGGAGCTGTGGCTGATGCTGAGAGCTCTGGGTAGAGCAGACAACCCATGGCCAGCCTCACCTGCCACCCTCAGCCACAGGGTGGCCTGGCTGTAGGACGTGTGCTCCTTGAAGATACAGTGATATGTCCCGTTATCAAACAGGGTGACGTTGTGTATCCTTACGGCGGCCTCGCCCCTGGCCACATGGTCGGTGGTAAGTGTTGTCCTTCCCCGGTAGGCCTCCATCTGTTCTTCCCACACATCCTTCCCATTCCTGTACACGTGCACAGCTGGGGAGGGCTGGTCCCTGTACCACCTCAGCTCCATGCCCTCGGCGCTGATGTTGGGTGACAGTTTGCATGGCAACTCTTTGTCTTGGCCCACTAGAGCCAGAAGAGGGTCAGGAGGTCCCAGGACACGGAAATCGGCTTTCCCTTAGAGAGGCAGATGGAAGGGCTGAGTTAGATTACCTGCAGGATCCCCCAGGCCCCAACCTCTTCTTAGGATTCCCTGAGTTCTAAGCTGTAGTCAGAGGCCTCAGCTTGACTCTGGGCAGCTCTCTCTTTGTTCCAGGGCACCCCCTTGGTCTGGGAAAGGGGGCTCTCCTACCATTCCCAGCAGGCAGAAACTGCAGGAAGACAAAGGTGACCAAGCAGCTTGGCAGAGAGGCATCTCCACAGTGTGGCCTTGACATTCCTGTTGGGGGCAGAGACGTGATTCAGTGGGAGAGAAGCCACCTAAGGGTCTAACAGGAGAAAGGGAAAATTGCTTTGGGAGAGAATCGTTCACTCATACACCACATGAGTTCCTAATCGTAGAAACAAGGTCATTTCTCCACGGAGCCCATCAGCAGAATTCCACAGACACCCCTCGGTGTAAGCGGGCTGTGTTCGACCATCTGCTCTTCTGTGGGTTTTTACCCAAGCTTCAGCCCTTTGCAGGCATAAAACAAACGTGGATGCTGAGGAAACCCAGCTCCGATTAAGCAAATCTGGGGTCAGCAGTTCAGCGGCAACCTGTAATGTGCCCCCTTAGCAGGGACGGGTGCCACAAGAAGCTCAGTAGTTTACAGTCGTTAGTATTCCAGACCATGTGGGCAAGCAGTGAGTGGTTTGGCAAGGGCTCTTGTCTGTTCTTTCTAGGACAGTCATGGAGTCCCCTTACCCTTCAAGCTGGGAGAGAATCAAAGTCAAAACATCTAGAAGTTGTGCCATTATAGAAGGAGCACTCACCTGTCTCTGAGCCCCGCTGCTTCTGTCCCAGGGACGTGCTGATGACTGACAGAACAGAAAACCCCAGACAGGGCACAATCCAAGTGAGCCAGGCTGTCTTCCTGGGAGTCTAGAAACGCCCAGAACGACCAAGCTTGCCGGCTCCTATTACTGCCATGCAAAAATAACCAACCCACCTTTTGGATAGGTGTAAAAGAAAAAAAAAAAAAGGCTTCTTAAGGAGCACCAGCACTGAGCCTAGAAGATAAAGACGCTGGCAGCAGGAGATTAGGGAGGGATGGAGGCAAGGGGAGGTGACCGTGTGTGTCCTCACAGAGGGTGAGAATGGGGGGGGGGCATCAGGGCCAGTCTGAGGAGATCGAACCCAAGGAGAGGACAGACTGTTAGTACTGGGATCCCAGCCAGATGCAGGTGCTGGGGAACTCGGATAAAGCACTCTGGTTATTGAGACCTTCAGACCAGCCATGTCTGGGTCCAGTTCCTTTGGGGAGGCTGTGATGGTTATGGTGAAACTAACTTGGTTCTGGCATTGGCTATGGGTACTCCTGTCCAGAAATCCAAGCCAACCCCTTCCTCAGTTCTTCCTACCCCCAACTTCACTTCAGGGCTCTGGAAGTCTGTTTTCCCTGGAAGCCTTACTTGAGTCACCCTTGGACCAATTAATCACCTTGATTTTCCTGCATCTGAGTGAGGTCTGGATGTATTCCCTCCTACCCTTCCTTTTAATTGATTCAAAGGTTTGGGTAGGTTCTTGAAGGCTCTGTGTGGGAAAAGAGCTCACAGGAAGGGCCACAGGGTTTCACGCAGGGTAGAGTGCAGGACTCAGAGGTGCTCCACACCCAGGGCTGTGGAGAAAGCCCAGCCCCAAGTTCTCTTCTGCTGCCTCCTCAGGGGAGTGTCCTCTGGTAAACAAGTTATTTTATGTTCAAGCGTGAGGGTGGAGCCAGCCCTTTCACAGCATCCTGTGAATGGTGTCAGCTAGGCACCAGTGCATCTGAAACTCAACTCACTTGTTCTTGTGAGTCAGGAATGAGGATTACCATAAGCTGTGTAGCCATGATGAAAGCAGTGTGGAGGTCCCCCCAAACATTAAAAAATAGAACCACCACTGGGGCTGGAGAGATGGCTCAGGGGTTAAGAGCACTGACTGCTCTTGTAGAGGACCCAAGTTCAATTCCCAGCACCCACATGGCAGCTACGAATCGTCCTTAACTCCAGTTACAGGGGAATCTGAAGCCCTCTTCTGACCTCCAAGGCATTGCACGACATGAATGCACTCACATACATGCAGGCAATACACTCATACACATAAAAAATAAATAAAAATATAAATAATTAAAAAAAATAGAACCACCATATGAACCAGCCTTCTCACCACTGGGTATGTAGTCAAAAGAAATTATGGCACAATGTCAAAGACACACACGCACTGTGTTTGTTGCAGCCCTATTCGTGATGGCCAAGAAATGGAATCAACTCATTCTATCAATGGATAGACAGTGGAATATTATTCAGCCATAGAAAAGAATGAGTCATTTGCAGCAATGTGGCTGATATCTTTATGTTAAATGAAAGAAGCCAAGCGCAGAAATCAAGTACAGCCCCATTCCATTTGCTTGTAGAAACTAGAAAAGTAGTTGATGCCGCAGGAGTTGCAAGTAGGGTGGTGGGGAGCAGCTTGGGGACCAACGGGAAGAAGGGGAGGTTGCTCAATGGGTGCTAAGTTACGGTTAGATAGTAACAAGAAGCTCTGGGTGCTAATGCACAGTCCATCTATGTCTATTCCAGACAACAGCAATGTACTGCCAACATCAAAAAGACATAGAAAGGACACTGAATTCTTCACCATAATGACATGACACGGGGCTGGAGAGATGGCTCAGTGGTTAAGAGCACTTTCTGCTCTTGCAAAGGACCCAGGTTTGATTCCCAGCACCCGTATCAGGTGGCTGACAACCACCTCAACTCCAGCTCAAGGGGATCCTATGCCTCTGGCCTCCTCAGGCACTACACTCATGTTGTACATTCCCACACATAGACACACACACATACACACACACACATCTACACATACACACACATTCACACACACATACACACATAAACACATACACACATACACATACACACACATACACATTCACACACATAAACACATACACACATACACACATACACACACATACACACACATACACACACATACACATACACACCTACACATACACATACACACACATACACAAACACATACAAACACATACATACACACATACACACCTACACATACACACATACATACACATACACACATACATACACACACATACACATATACACACACACACACATACAGCTAAAATAGTAAAATAAATCTTAAGAAAAAGAATTCCTGGGGCATGTATAGAGACAGAAATATGTAACTGACACATGCTGTGTTTCCTCAGGACTCTATGGTTGGGCTCGAAAAATAGCTCAGTGGTTAAGAGCATTGGCTGCTATGGGAGAGAACCCAGGTTTGGTTCCCAGCACCCACATGGCAGCTAACAACAGTCCATAACTCCAGTTTCAGGGGATCTGATGACCCCTTCTGGCCTCCGCAGACACTGCATGGATGTGATGCACTTACATACATCTAGGCAAACACATATACATAAAATAAATACATAATTTAAAAAACTATCTGGTGTAGCATATTCCCCAGTTGAAGAGGCTTTTAAATTAATTAACTAATTAGTTAATGTATGCTTGTGTCTGGTACCTGTGTGAGTGTATGTGCAGGTGTCTGGGGGGCACATGCTGGAAGAGGGCACTGGCTGCTATCATTCTCCACTTACTTCTTTGAGGTGGTGTCTCTCTCCGAACCTGGGACTCCCACCTCCTCAGCTAGGCTGGAAGCTGCAAGTCTCAGTGATCTTCCTGCCTCTGCCCCCCTTGGAGCTGAGGCTACAGGCATTTTCAGGGGTGCCTGGCTTGTTTCATGGGTGCTGGAATCTGAACTCTTGTCCTCATGGTTGCCAAGCAAACATTCCTAACTGCTGAGCCATTTCTCCAGACCCTCCCCACCCTCACCCCTCCAATGGAATAGTGTTAAGAAATAATATATCGGAGCTAGAGAAGTGACTCCGCAGTCAAAGAGCACTGGCTGCTCTTGCAGAGGAACTGGGTTCAGTTCCCAGCGACCATATGGCAGCTAACACTCTCCATAGCTCCAGTTCCAGGGGTGCTATGCCCTCTTCTGGCCGCCATGGGCATTGCACACATGGTATACTTACATGCATGCAAAACACCTATACACATAAAAATAAATAAAAAATAAATCAAAACAGAAAGCCTTACTTATAATGCTATTTTACAACTGGACCTCCCTTGTAAATGACTGCACGATTGATCAAAACTCCCTAACAGCTAGCAAAGAAAAGATCTAGATTTGTGTCAACAATCTAAATTATATCCAGTGAAAATGGCCTTCATAAATAAAACAACCCACTCTACTCAGGGATGCTCCTGTCTTGGAGAAATTCTTCTGATAAAGATGGAGAACCAAAACTGTCAGTAACACCTTTACAAAAGTCTACAGCCCCATATCCAGGACTCCCCCATAGCCCACTGTAACTCCACCTGCTCAGGTGTGTCCTCTCTAAGAACTTGCTGAGTCTGAACCCATTAAATTCCAACATCCTCTGTCTGTGAAAACCCTTAAATCAAGGGGGTCTGAAAGGCTCCTTAGTCTTGACAAACACAAAAAAATTTTGACGTGTCTCAAAATTATGAGTTTTCTTGGAAAGATGTCAACATTAATATGGACAGAGCTTTACTGATTGTGAGCTCACTAGAGTTACTCAAGGAGTTAAATGATATACATATGAGTGAGACATGAGAGACCCCTGAGGACCCAGAGCAGCTCCAGGAAATTCCCCGGTGGATTCCAGCACTGAGAGCAGCGTGGGAATGTAGACATTGCATTGTCTGGTCCTTGAGGGACTAACTAGCGGTAAAGCCAGTAATCATGCCAAATTGGCAAATATTGACCAGACGACTAACAAAACTCTACTACCTCCTTAGAGCACTGGTTAACCTTCACAATCTTCAGTCTTTGCTGAGGAGACACACTCTGAGCACCTGTGAGGGCACGTCTGAGAGGTTAACTGAGGAAAGCAGACCCGCCCTGAATGTGGGAAGCACAACCCCACATCCTGGGGTCCTCCATAGGAGTCAGTTGATCCCCTATCAGTGTTCATCTGTGTTCATCCGTGTGCTTTCTCGCTGAGAATGGAACGTGACTCACAGTGTCGCACTCCCCCGCCATGCCTTCCACGACAAGATGGACAGTACCTTCAGAGTGAGCCCAAATAAAGTTCAGACGGACTGTTCTTCCTTTGAAGGGAAAATCCTTTTCCAGGGAAGATTCCTGAGGCAAAAGGAAATTGGATCTAAGACTCATATAACCTTCTAAATGCAG